TGGGCCTGGGCACTGTCCCTCAGCTCTTCAGCTCAAGGCTAGCACTCTACCACTTGAGCCACAGCACCACTTCTGGCTTTTTCTGCTTATGTGATGCTGAGGAATCGAACCCAGAGCCTCATGCATGCAAGGCAGGCACTCTACCGCTGAGCCACCTTCCCAGCCCCCTTGCTTCAATTTAAAGATTAGACCAAAAGCAAAAACAAAAACAAATCAGACCAGATTGAACCATGTGACTCAATTTTAACAGACCAAAGACTCATTTTCCTCTATTGAAAAAATAGAGAACATAAAATGAAATATAGTAATTTTAGTGCTTGAACAGTTCCTTTAGTGTTGGGATGGGGTTAATGATCAGAAAGAAGGAATATCTGCAGGCTCAGGACTTCCTTGGTGACTCTGAATTTAAACCTTTGCCACATAGATCATTATCTTTTTCTTTCTTTTTTTGTTTTTTGTTTGTGGGGCTTGAACTCTGGGCCTGTGTGCTGTCCCTCAGCTCAAGGCTAATAGTGTTCAACCACTTAAGCCACAGCACCACTTCTGGTTTTCTGGTGATTAACTGGAGATAAGAGTCTTAGGGACTTTCCTGCCTGGGATGGCTTTGAACTTTGATACTCAGATCTCAGTCTCCTGAGTAGCTAGGATTACAGGCCTGAACCACTGGCACCCAGTTATTATCTTTAATACTATCCTACAAGATATTACCTTATACCCAACTTGCTATCATATTCCATCAAACTCAACACATACTTTTCTTCTATCCCTACTAGCTCTGTCCCATAAACTGTTTGAGGCCTAGAAAAGTCAATCTGCTAGCTGGCTCTGGAATCTGTGATTCATTTTTCTCTCAGAGGGATAAAAGTTAGTTCTACATCTATAATTAGGATCAGGCTCCGCCATCTTTTGATTCTTCCTCATAATAAATTCATTCTGATTTAAAAAGGCAAGAAAAAAAAGGTAAATTTGTGCTTGCTTCAGCAACACATAGAAGACAACTAAAAAAGAAAAAGTCAAGGAAGATGAGCACTGTTTTTATGCAAGGATATCATGCAAATCTGTGAAGTGTTCCATTAAAAAAAAAAAGTAAACTTGATTTATTGGTAGATACCATAAGTGTGTCATTACTGAAGTGACAAAGCTAAGCAATGTGTCAGAATCTGAAAGAATGAGAAAAGATCCCTTACAATCGATCCAGAAACCATATAGGCTGGATAAATGTGGAAAAATGTAATTCTAGTCCAAAAGTAAGTAGGACTTGGATGAAAGGTCAAAGCACAGAAGAACTATCAGAATTATTTTGGATTATTTCCATTATCACTCATTCTTTGGATTCCTACAGCAGATAAAATGATTGGTCTCTGTGTAAAATTTGCTGGGATAGTCAAAAACTATTTTGATTTGTATTTGATTTGATACAGACAAGCTACAATGAGAAAGGGCTAAGTCCAGCTTGAGTTCAGCAAGCATCAGCAGACACAAACAGGATGGCCTGCTTTGGAAGAACTGTATTTTGTTGTTGTTTGTTTTATTTTTGAGAAAGCATCTTGCTATGCTGTCCAGATGGATCATCAGCTTGAGTAATTCTCAGCCTCCTTAGTAACTGACACTGCACACACATACTACTATGCTTAGCTGGAACCATGGCTTTCAGAATGCAGAACTCAATTTTCTCTTATCACAAATGCAGGCAACAACATGAAGATTACTTGCAGAGGGATTGCTATCAGTAATCAATAGTAGTGGGTGTGGTCCATCTTTACTCTATGACAAAATAGGTTAAGAATATCCTTAGATTTGCCTGGAAATTATCCATTGGAACAGGTAAGGTTGGGGAGGAACTTGGATTATAAAATTGTCAGTTCCTCCCACACAGGTCAAGTCTATTAGAATCAGTAACAAAGTCTTCTACTGAATACCCCAAGAGCAACTGCACTTGAATAGAATGCAACAAGGCTAGATTGCCTACCTTTTATTCACACTTGATTAGGACTCAGATGAGGAAGAGAAAAGATGAGCAAATAGGGCTAAGATTCTTTCCTTAGGGGTAAGCAAATAGAGGAAAAACTTTCCTTAATTTCATCTATGGTCCAGTTTAACCTAACACACATGGCTGTAAGATGTCTTTTATCCAGCAGCATTCCTGTTAAATCAGCCCTATCTCCATTTAAGTTAGTTCAGGAAAGCACCAGTCATTCAGAAAAAGCAGTCTGTAGTTGCAGTTCTGGATTTTAAGGGCGGGTGGGAGTAGGAGTTCCTTCAGGAAAGAGGTTCTCTGAAGCCATAATGGTTCTATATTTCCTACATTATTCTTCCCTCCTCCCATGTTCAAAGGTGGACACAGAAAGATACAATTCCAACTAGCAGAGTATTTGGTTCTTAGGGAATGACCATAAAACAAGGTACTACTTCTTTCCAACACTTAATGTCATTAAGGAGATTTCTTTCTAAATGAAAGTATGCTATTTACCTATCTGCCTCTTTCCAAGACTTTTAAAAAACAATTTTTCCCAAACCTGCTTCATTATACATATAGACATTTCAAACTTAAATAGCACAATCATCCAGAGTCTCACAGATCAGGGCTGGTTCTCCTCTCTGACCTAGACTTTTGAGGCACTTCCCCAAGCAGCCCAAATCTTGGCCACTGACTCCTAGAGCCTGCTGAAGTAAATTTAAAGAGCTGGGATGGAACTGCAAGTTTTGCTACCACATGTCTATGAACTTTATCTCTTGTGTTTCTTTGGGATATACACCAGTATCCAGGAAGCCAAAGAGCTGGGAAAGAAGGGCAGATTTTAGCATGTTACTGGCTAAATTCAGATGTCTTTGGTAAGGTCACACATGACAGGAAGCAGGGACAGACTAGAAAAGCACCTTCATCACAGCCTACTGCCCAAACTGGGGCAAGGCAAAATGGTGGCACCTTTCTGGAGGGAGCCAGCATATTTCACCCCTCTCCACCCCCAGAGGAATCTCTGCTGCTGTCAACAACAACCATCTACAGAGGTAAAATATGCCTCACAGAAAAAATTCTCAAGTGCCTCTCAGCAAGTTTTGTCATAGCAAGTAGCTGTTTTTTTTTGGTGTGTGTGTGTGTGTGTGCGTGTGTGTGTGTGTGTGTGTGTGTTTTACCAGTCCTAGGGCTTGAACTCAGGGCCTGGGCACTGTCCCTGAGCTCAAGGCTAGCACTCTACCACTTGAGCCACAGCACTATTTCCGGCTTTTTCTGCTTATATGGTACTGAGGAATTGAACCCAGGCTTTCATGGATGCTAGGCAAGCACTCTACCACTAAGCCACATTCCCAGCCCAAACAGCTGTTTTTAAAATAAGTAGTTCAATTAGATAGCCATTATTACGGAATTCTTCTGTCAAGAAACCTCACGTCTCCTACCACTGAAAGGAACCAGAAGCTCCTAAAATTTTCCTAGGTATCAGATGACTATCAAGGAAGAGAAACCCAAACCATGCTCAACTCTTTCTGCAGGGTTTGCTGCCAGCCATGTCAGGAAGGTTTAAGTGGAAACAGGGAATAAATTCAATAAAATATTTATGATCTCTTACCATTAGCATCTTGGACTCCAGTAAGTGCTCCAACGGCTGCTGCGGTTTCCCCAGACAGGACTATCTGTCCCCCGCCTTGTAAGGTGGCTTCAGCCAGGGTGGCGACAGCATGGGCAGCAGCTTCGCTGTGCATACAGGGACAGGAAAGAGGAGGATATGCAAGATGAATAAAGGTATGACACCTGCCACAAGACAAACCATCCATCCTTGGCTCACTCTACTATGGGCTTCATAGTTATGAGACACACAGCAAATATTTGATACCAGTGCTAATGGACAAAGCCAGGGATAAGTTTAAAATGATAATACAGATAGAGGGACTCCTAACCTTACATATTTATTTGTTTTTGCTTTTTTTTTGTTTGTTTGTGGGGCTTGAACTCTGGGCCTGGGCACTGTCTCTGAGCTCTTTAGCTCAAGGCTAGCGCTCTACCCCTAGAGCCACAGCACCACTTCTGGAGATAAGAGTCTCACGGACTTCCTGTCTGGGATGGTTTTGAACCGCGATCCTCAGATCTCAGTCTCCTGAGTAGCTAGGATTACAGGAGTGAGCCACCAGTGTCCTGCTACCTTACATATTTATAAAGCTAGTAAGAAACTTTCTGTTAGGTAATCAAAGCTTGATAACAGAAAACATCCTGTATCAGTCTATCCTTATCTATCAATTGAGTATTTGCAAATCACAGTGGAAGCTCTGACCCATATTACAATGCAAATACCATTTTCAGTTGTCAATCACAAGGTTTTCTTTTAATCATTTTTCTTTATGGTAACACAAGGCAGACCATTTGAGATCCTCCCTTTAAGATGAGTATGGGTAATTTGAAGAGTAAGCAACCTGTTATCAGTACTAGATAATAGTCTAGAGTATAGTCATGCTTTTTAAATACAAAGTAATGTTGGACTAAGTAGAAAGTCCAACCCCTCCTTTGCTTTGGTATATATGCAGACATCCCTGAAAATAAAAAACTTAACATTTTAAAATTATCTTTGGGCTGGGAAGGTGGCTCAGTGGTAGAGCGCTTGCCTTGCATGCATGAGGCCCTGGGTTCAATTCCTCAGCACCACATAAGCAAAAAGAAAAAAGCAGGAAGTGGCGCTGTGGCTCAAGTGGTAGAGTGCTAGCCTTGACCTGAAGAACTCAGGGACAGAGCCCAGGCCCAGAGTTCAAGCCCCACGACTGAAAAAAAAATCTATTTTTTTTGATATACACTATATTTTATGTACCAGTATGTGTACACACACACACACACACACACACACACACAGACACAGACACAGACACACACACAGACACAGACACACACACACACACAGCAGTACCACTTGGTTTAGCAGAAGTGGGCAAAATCCTGTATTTAATTCCCAAATAAACCAGTTGATTCAGCTTTGCTGCCTCTAAGGCAGTCATCTGCAAATCACAGGCTCTAAGTGAGGATGGGTGAGGAGGCAGGGATTGGCTGAGGTAAACATGTCATGACAAGACAAAGTAATGTGCACCAAACTGAATAAAGTCCCTTTCATCTAAGAAAGGCAGCAGACCTGTAAAGCAACAGATCAGTAATTGCCTGGGAAGACTTCTTTGTCACTGAGAGTGGCCTAAGAAGCAGTAAATGAAAGTGAATAGACAGAAAATCCTTATTAAGTTAAAAAAAATTATCCCCTTCATATTAACGTTCCTAGTTTTTTAAAAAATCTCTTTAAAGGGTTTTATTTTTCCTGATAATAAAAGCAACACATGCAGGAAACTTGGGAAATTAAAAGTCTCATAAAGATGACATCTGTTAAGCACTAACCAATCAGAATCATATAAGATATATAGCTTTGTTGTAATTGTGCTAAGGACTGAACTGAGTGACAGGACTTGTGCACACCAGAAAGGAACTCCATTACTACCCTTAGCCTTCATGGTTTTTAAAATCATTTTTTTCTTTTCTTTTTTTTTTTAAATCAGTCATGGGGCTTGAACTCTGGACCTGGGCTCTGTACCTGAGCTCTTCAGCTCAAGGTGAGCGCTTTATCACTTGAGGCTCAGTGCCACTTCCAGTTTTCTGGTGGTTAATTAAAGAGTCTTATGGACTTTCTCTGCTGGGGCTGGCTTTGAACCTCAACCCTCAGATCTCAGCCTCCTGAGTAGCTTGGATTACAGGCGTGAACCACCAGTGCCCTGCTGTTGTTTTTTGAGATAGGATCTTACTACATGGCCCAGGCTAGTTTCAAATTATTCATGATTCTCCTGCCTCCTGAGTTCTGGGATTATAGGCATGAACCACCACACTCAGCTTATTAAATAAACCCGGAAGTGGCACTGTGGCTCAAGTGGTAGAGCGCTAGCCTTGAGCTGAAGAGCTGAGGGACAGCGCCCAGGCCCAGAGTTCAGGCCCCACGAGTGGACCCCCCCAAAAAAATACTTTTTTGTGTGTGTTTGTGTGTGTGTGTGTGTATGTGTCAGTCTTTGGGGCTTGAATTCAGGGTTCTGGGCTTTGCCCATTAGTTTCTTTTGCTCAAGGCCAGTGTTCTACCACTTGAACCACATAGCTCCACTTCTGAATTTTTTGGATTTTTTTTTTTTTTGCCAGTCGTGGAGCTTGAACTCTGGACCTGGACACTGTCCTAGGCTCTTCAGCTCAAGGCAAGCTCTACCACTTGAGCCACAGCACCACTTCTGGTTTTTTGAGTGGTTTACTGGAGATAAGAGTCTTACAGGTTTGCCTGTCTGGGCTGGCTTTGAACCATGATCCTAAGATCTCAGCCTCCTGAGTAGCTAGGATTACAGGCGTGAGCCACCGGTGCCCAACAGTATCTATTAAACATAACTTCCTAGTTCCTTCCATCTACCTCTTTCCTTAGCAACCACCCTTCTATCTTCTGTCTTCATGAATTTTATTATTCTATCTCACCTAAGTGGAATCGTGTTTTTATTATTGACATTCACTTAGTCAATTATCAAGATTCATTCATATTGTAGCCTGTCAGAATTTTCTTCCCTTTGAAGGCTTAATGTTTTTCTTTTTTTTTTGCTGGTCGAGGAGCTTGAACTTTGGGCCTGGGCACTGTTGTGAGCTCTTCAGCTCAAGGCTAGCACTCTACCACTTGAGCCATAGCACCCACTTCCAGCTTTTTCTGTGTATGTGGTACTGAGGAATCGAACCCAGGGCCTCATGCATGCAAGGCAAGCACTCTACCACTGAGCCACCTTCCCAGCCCCCTAGGCTCAATGTTTTATGTTATGTATATACCACGTTTTGCTTATTCAGCCATATATTCTGTTGATGGTCACTTGTATAGAATTCACATTTCAGTTATTGTGCTATTTCAGTTAATGCTGCTATGAACATGTGCACACAAGATTTTGCTTTTAATTCTTTGGAGTATTTAGCCAGCATAGAACTGCTATATTATATAGTAATTTTATGTTGTTTCTGTTGGTTTCAGGGCTTAAATTTAAGAGCATCATGCTCTTATTCAATTTTTCACAAATGGCTGGAGCTCTACCACTTGAACCATACTTTTAGTTTAGTTTTGTTTTTTTTGCTGGTAACTTTGGAGATGGAGTCTCATGGACTAAAATCAGCCTGAGCATATTTCAAACTGCCATCATCAGACTTCAGGCTCCCTAATAACTAGAATTATAGGAGTGCCACTGGCCCAGCAATAGTGTGTATTTTATCATATGTTTATTTGGCTAGCAGTATCTCTGTTTGGAGAAGGGTTAGTTTTTGTCCTTTGTATATTTTCCAGTTGATTTTTCTGTTGTTAAACTTTAGGAACTCTCTACATTTGGATATCAATTTCTTATCAGATACTTAGTTTGCAAGCACGCATGCATGTGTGTGCACACACGCATTCATGTGCACCTGTAACTGGGCTTGAATTTAGGGCCTGGATACTATGTTTTAGCTTTCATTCAAAGCTGGTGCTCTATTCACTTGAGCTACTTGCAGCTTTTTGGTGATTTGGAGAGTCGAGATAAGAGTCTCATGGACTTTCCTTCTGGAGCTGGCTTTGAAACAATCCTTAGACCTCAATCTCCTAAATCATTAGAATTACTGGCATGAGTACCAGCATCTGGCTTTAATCTGCAATATTTTCTCTCATCTTGTTTTACTCTGTTGATGTAACCTACCCTATGCAACTGGGGATCAAACCTATGGCCTTGGATATTCTCAGCAAGCACTTTATCTATAAGCTATACAACTACACATCCCCAGCCACACACATCGTTTCTACAGCTTGCTTCTTTCACTTAACATTGTTATTTTGTCATGAAAATATTCTTGATATCTACTCAAAATGAAACAAATTATTTTACTTTTCCCTTTTGTAAAATTTGGTTAGTTATAGCAACAGCTTCTAGCTGGTAAAGAGAAACAAAGTAATTCATTGTCCCAGAGCTCAAAGATAGCATTCCATCACTTGTATTTCCAGGTTTTTGGTGGTTAATTAGAGATAAGAGTCTCATGGAGTTTCCTGCCTGGGTTGAACTATGATCCTCAGATCTCAGCCTCTTGAGTAGCTAGGTTTACAGGTGTGAGCCACCAGAGACCAGCTTTATGACTCAATTTAAAGTCATGACTATATATTTTAAGCCTCTTTGCTTTCTTCATAAAAAAATTGTGACACAATTAAAGTAGAGCAAAAAGCATAATCATAGATTGTACAGGCATCATGGATACAAGCTAAGATCTTTCTCTCTGTTGATGCAGTCATGGTGCTATAACACCTAACACTAACAGGGCATTAGTCCATACCATCTGAATTACAAAGTCAGAGTCCAAAGGCACACTTAATCTGAAATTACTATTAAGGCTGCTCTTCACCATAGGCTTAACTATGAAATGCCTCATACGTTCTTACTAGAGACAACATAATGAATCACTATGCCTAGGTCCGATTGTAAATATTTTTCTAAGAGACTGGTACCAGCAAATAATATTACAGACCCAACTTTATAGAATCTAGCAATTATGGATTATTTTAATGTCCTTTTTTTTGGTGCCGGTCCTGGCACTTGAACTCAGGCCTGGTGCTGTCTCTGAACTT